GCAATATTTTGGCAACTTCCGACCACCAAAACCTTCGATTTCGAATACCGTTGGAAAGCCCACAATGTCCTCTTCAATTATAACCGATTTACATGGTTATGGTGCAGTTATGGCATAGCCAAACATTTGGTGGTGCGGTTATGATTTTGGTCGAATCGATCCCGAACTGAACCGTTGCCATCCCTACTTATTATTTAATATTGTCTATTCGAATTTAATATAATAAATAATTGGATGACTTTAATTTTTGTTGACAAGTTGTCTCAATCCGACCGATACTTGATTGAGTTGGGCTATGTTGGATTTCAATATTTACACGGATTGTGTTAAATTTTGATCAAATCGATCATGTTGGATTGAATTTGGGTTGAGACAAAAATCTACCCAACCCAACCTATGCCCACTCCTAGGTATGGGTTTAATTTTCACTTCTAATAATTGATGTAGTTTTGGATTTATTGGGCTAGCTGATTCCAAGGCCCAAAATTTTCAGGCCACTTCAACTAAAAGCTCTTGGATCATTGACATAAATAGCACTAAAAGTTGGACATATATCTCTATATTGCACTTTGTTCACATGTACAAACTCAGCTTTAGACTCATCAATGCAACCATTTGTTGCAAATTTAGAACCAAAGGTTTGCCCTTCCTGAAGTTCCAAGTAGATCACACAAAAAACACGCATACAACTATTATTTATGCTATTATAAGGAGATGATGTTTGTATCGGTACAAGTATCAACTAGATTCGGTTTAGAACAAAAAATAAATATATTCTATGCATATGACATGGTTTGGTAGAGCCGTTTAATCGATGGATAGTCCAGACAAAGTAGGTCATTTACTAAAGAACCAAATGTGATTAAAGAGCATACTAACAAAACTTGATATTCGAGATGAATGTGATACATGTTATCAAATTTCTATATAATGAAATGATGGAGTATTTGAGCTAAGCAAAATGCTAAACTACGGAACCAATTAGTTTCACACTGACGTCATCAATGAAAGCAACCTCAAATAATGTGAGCATAATAGTCTTAAACATCACCATATACGCCTCCCGACGATTAGAACATTCAATAAAACCATAGCCTTCGAGGAATTTGAGCACCAAGCGCACAAGAGAATAGAATGGCCATCCATGAGTACCATGAAAGAAAGCTCAAAAGCAGAAAAATCAAATAAGAAACAAATAATTCCAGTGCAATTACAGAAACAAAATGAACCTCGAATAAAATAGAACATTAAAAGGTTTCTTCGTTCTAGTACATTGTTTTCTGCAAGTAACAGCAGTGCAATGTCACTTTCAAAGGTATTGGACAGCCATAAAAAAGTTCGTCCAAACTCTAAACAAAGGAAAGCAATATATGGCTTACATGCAAAACGGGGCTAGCAAAAGGGACGATTCTCTTCTTTATTCCAAGCACTGTGCATAACTTCCATCACACACGTAGATGACCTAAATTTTCAGCTGTGTACATCCAAGGACAGTTCCCCTGCACCGCGTCATAGGAGCTGCCTGATGCCAAACCGGTCTCTCATTTCCAAGCGACAGAACATCAACATCAGTCGTCACCTCGATGTCCCAATTCATCCTGTCAGGCCCTATGACTCCTCCAATTATATAAATATCATCTCCCAAACCTATCATCCCGAAACCAATCTTTCGACGGAACTCAGATGCCGAAACTACCAACTTGCTAAGTTCTCTCTCCTGCTTGTAAATTTGGCCATGACTCATTACATACAGCATCCCCTTAACGACTGCCATTGGACCCTGAAGCCAACCAATGTCATGAACTGTCCAACCCTGCTTAATACTATCCAAAACTTGCACAGTTGACAATCCCTTGTGCAAGACATGAACCTTACCCCCAATAACCACTCCTGTACATGCAGAATTGTGAGTGCGGTGGAGATCGGGTATTGAAATCCAGACATCATTGTCAGGATCATAGACTTCGGCTTTAGAGATTGACTTCCTGGAGTTAGTAAAACCACCTGCCACGATTATCTTCCCATCCATCACACAGCATGCAAACATTGCACGAGGCACAATCATAGATGCACGTAGGGCCCACTGCCGAGACACTGGGTCGTACGACCATACTGCATCAGTAGCAAAACTTCCATCCTGGTCACCAGTCAAAGGATCCACAGCATCACTTCCACCACCAAGCACAAAAAGCTTTCCGCCAACAGAGACAACACCAAAGTGGGCAAGGTGCCTTATGTTTGAAGGAAGAACCGGGAGTGTAATCCAAAGGTCACATGCAGGATCATAAAGCTGCCATAGATTGTCAGGGTCATATGTGCAAAGACATATAAATTCCTCAGTTGAGTTCACCTCTTGACGGGCTTTAAAGAGTTCAGTGCTCCGAAAGGCAGCTCGCCAGGAACGTGAAACAAGTTCTAACTTCGGATGAAGATGGAAGGGAACCCGTGCAAGGCACCTGAGGGCGACAGCATCAGGAAGGCCTTCAATAAGTCCAGACATAACCATGCAATACTGTGAATATAGATTCTTTATTTCTTTCTTAAGTGATTGTGATTTGCTGCTTGGTGAAAACGGCTTCAAAACGTACTATCTAAAACACAACATAAATAAATAAGTAATAATCAATATATAAGAGATGATCTGTTCATATAAAAGTCTCTTGGACTCGAGCATTTCGACAGCCTTATTAGAGGGGGGAAAAATGGGTTTCTAATGGTGAGATATGTCAGCATTCTGAGAGCATCATCTTAAGGCGAAACATCCAAATTAGGATCAGATTTTGACTCAGAACAAATCGGAAAATGAAAGGTTTTAGCATGCCATGCCACATGGAAATAAAAAATTAGTGATTTCACTAAACACCACCACTCTAGCAATTCCACTGAAAGAGGTAATCAAGGGGTAAAACCATCATGATATGTGATTTATGGCCACCATAGATACCTATACTACTTAATTCTCTATCATAAGGAGATAACATGCCTAAAATTTCGGAACTCACAATCAAGAATGATAAGTAAATGCACTCAATATCCATAGTAGTTAAACCTGCAGAGCCTATCAAGGCACTAATGCCTCCGAACCACTTGCTTCATAAAGGCACTTGTTATATTCTAAGTGAAAGATCTTGGCACGTGCATAATATATTCTGCAGAATTCAGAAATTGCATAAATTCCCAATAAATTTGAGCAAACATACGTTCATTTTTCACCACTATTTTGAGCAAAATCAGCACCTAAGCAGTTTCAGATCAAGGTATTGTATTATTTAACAAGCCACTCAATTTGAAGTGCAAAAATATCCGCACCAAATAACAAACTAAAGTAAAATGAACGATTTAGATGGAAAGGAATCAAAAGCTCGAATATCTAAGGACACACCTCACTGCACTTTGCTTACAGTCATACATCTCATTGAGTTTTTAAATACAATGTCATTACATGCTTGTGCATCCATTCACAGAACCAGGGAAAACAAAATGTGCTGCAAATGAATAAAGTGTCACAAACCCTATCAACGAGTCAAGGACAACACATTTCAGTTATTTCAAACCCACTGCCTTAGTAAGCATAACTAAGAAACAAGGCAATAGGACATAAATGGCCATTCAGCTGAAAATTTATGAATAAGGTCATTAGTGTTATATGTTAACAATGCAGAAACTCCAGAGTAAAGGTTCATGCAAATGCAGTTCAACAATAACAGAAGATTCTATATAAGCATAATATCTCACACTTTTCATAATTTTAACATTTTATTGAATGGCCAACCTGCCCTTCCTATACAACATTTAACAAGCAGACATATTTAAAGTTTGATCATATATTTTAAACAAATTAAATTGTAATTGTAATACTTCGTTTGGTTTTCATTTCAAGTCTAGAAATGTGAGATACAAATTAGAAATCATTTTAAATCGGATTATCTTCTGATTAAAAGGATCCGACACGGATCCCATACCCTAATCCCTTTCATATTGACACAACACGGGGTACTTTTCTCCAAAATGGAAAGTCCGTGCGTCTGTGCAACATAGACTAGAACTCCGTTTTACAAATATCCACTTGTGTTTGAAACAAGAAAAAAACATGTTAATATTCGCTACTCAGCAAAGATGAAGTGGATATTCACTCCATAGATTGATAATACAACAACGACGACTACTAATCCAAATAGATAACAAAGAAAATATATGGATCCACATCATTGTATTAAAAATAAACGAAATAATTTGAAATGATCGATTTCAGTATACCAAATAATAACAAAATAATGCACGCAAGTGCACAACATTCATGTTCAATCCTTGCCCAGCATCAATTCCTTCAGTTTAACTTATATATTATGTTACTACGCCCAAACCAAAACTCTATTTATATCCGTTTGATTTTCTAAAATCAAAATATGAATTTTTCAATATGATCATAACTGACAATACAAGCACTTCCATCCACATTAAGTGGATAATTCTAGAGGCGCTAGGAGTTGATGCAAATAACTTGTTTCTGATTCAACAATTATCAGTCAAATAACTCAAAATTAAGTGGAACTCACACGTATTTAAATTATATCAATATAATCAAACACAAAAGGGGGCAATATGTCAGAACACTTCACCGATACTATAAAAATCCATCACTAGATGCAAATCCCCACATCCTAACATCTTAAATCAAATCAGGAAAACCCCAGAAAAACAAATCCGAACCCTAATATCCATCTCGTGAAAAATCCACTCTGCCAAAATGGCAAAAATAAAATATAAAATTACAGGTGCGCCAAGTTCACGATTCCAGGCATGGTTTCACCTCAAAACTCAACGATACAACTACAAGATTCAGAAGATTTAAAGATTGGATATAAATTAACAGAAAAAATAAAATCCAACGTTGATTCAAAAATCAGAATTACCTGTCAAACAAAGGACCCGATGAGGAGAACAAAAATTCAACTGGGTTTCAAACATTCTCCAAAAAGATGAAAAATTTTGGAAAAAAATAAAACGCCCATGTCCCAGAGCCTTTGCTTTTCCGTTTGGATTCAAGAACTAACAAATACTCTTCGAGTATTACACACACATTTCGCATACACTCACATATAAACACATCTATATATTATTGGAATATTGCTCGGTAAGATTGATTCTGTGCGAAAATTGAACAAGAAATTACCCCAACAATCGGAATAGAATAGAATAGAATAGAATTGGTACGAGAGAGGATATTCCAAGCTCTGCTCGTATGGTTTGGACAACTCGAATATCACGTGATTTGCACGTGCTCTGAATTTGGGCTTGATTTGGGATTTTGGTGGGTCTTTTGCACGCTGGATCCAGCCACTACCAAATTATTACTACTATAAAATACAAATTATGATTAACGTGTGTAATTAAATATTGTTTTTTTTTTCTAATCTAAATATAAAATAAAATAGATGGTTGATTGCTTGTTGGAAACTCTATTGTAAACTAATCAAAATCAGCCGAACTATAGATTGTTCTAGTTTCTTTACATTTGATTGGTGTTTGACTAGTCTATGTAAATCCTAAATTTCCTTTCATTTTAGTGACTTAACGTGTTTATGATGGAGACGTTAAGAACACGAATTAGGTGATGATTACTTATAGCCGAATACAATTTATACTTTTGGACCGGTGAGCTGGCATATCGATTCATGAAAAGGTCTCTTCTATACACAGACCATGCTGAATTGAACAATTGGACTCCAATGTTTTTAAATCTTTTGTTATTTTTTCATAAAAAACATGGAAGATCATTTCAAGAGTTATGGTTTTAGCCTTTTGGAAGTCAGATTGTCAGCTTATCTTGACCACAAGTTTGAACATCCACGCCTACCAACCTTTATCTAGAGGTAAGTTGACCTACGATATGGCCATGCAAAGGTGGGGGAGGCAAAGCTTGGGCGACCAACCCATTTTTACTCATCTAGTTTAGCATGAAGTTCAATTTTAGGTTTTAGTGTCACAATAATAATGGAGAATAATTTTGTCTATTTATAAGAGTGATGCGTATCTGTTTTGTATGTATGAAACATGGAGGAAAATTAACACGCCTCGTTATAGTTGCAATGGATTTTACAATAGATTAAAGTTTACCGAGTGAATCGTTGGGAGCAGAGAAAGCAAAGAGAACGTTCAACCCATAATTCATTGTAGTTGTTAAAAAAAATCAAACAATTTACAAATAGGTAGAACTGATATAAATAGAGCCACAGTTGTAAGATAATGCCCCAAGTTGTTAATGACAAAATAAGTAGTGCATAAACAAAGAAGTAAAATCAATTTCCTTCAATACAAAGTACAAACTCTAAAAAACAGTAGAGAACAAGTGAATACAAAAAACACTTATAAGTAGGTTACAAGCATTCAAAACATAAAATCAGGCAGCGAAGAAACAATTTAACTCTGTATACTAACAATGTAACAAGCATAAAAACTCCACAGGAAGCCTAAAAGTTCCGGCCGGTGGCAGCCCACACAGCAACGAATAAAGCCATGGCCACGAGATGAATTGGCGATTTTATGATATTTCCATCAGAAGTGCTTCCGCTGGTATTTGGTTCTGTCTTTGATCCTGTTCCTATATGATGGATTCATCAAAGATTTTAGCATCATTCTTAGTTTTGTCATCGATTTTTTGAATCTTCTTTATCAGGAATAAGTTTACGGATAGTGTATTAAAATTTAAGGCATCTTTATATTTGTCAAACCACTTCATCTAAAAACCAAGGCTGTTAGAGAGAAGTCGCATTTGTTTAAATAAATCTAGTCTTTAACGTGGCCTTTTTTTGGGGGAATATGTTATGGAATACATTTATTTTATTTACTTCAGTTTTGTCTAAAAAATTCTTTATATATACTTAAATTCAGATGTTTCAAGGATAATTCAGAAACAATTTGTGCTGATTTTAAATTAATACCTTCAAAATACTGTGTTAATGTAATTGTGATTGATATTTTAATTTAGATCTCATGCATACCTTGAGGAACAGAGGGAATGGTGGTGGTAGTAGGACTCTTAGCCGGTTCATCAGAACCATCTGCGGGGGAGCTGATCGGCGAAGGTGAAGGGGAAACGGCCGGTCCAGTAGCGACGGCTGTATAGTAAAACATTTTAAAAGCTCATTATCGAGTTCCAAAAAATTGCTAAAGAATAAAAAGTTAAAATATTTTTACCGTTACACTGGCTGATTGGAGGAGTTCGAACGCTACATGCCCCGGGAAGTGCCAGAGCAAGAGTTTGGTTTATATTTAAGCCAAAAGACGAACCAGAAGCATTTAGTAAAGTACAAAGACACCGGGGCTGTGACTGAACAACGTTACCAAGAGAAGAGCAACAGGATGATGATGGAGTGGACGAGTTTCCAGTAACGTAACTTAGACACGAGGAGAGGGTCATGAGTGTGCTGGTGCAGCTTGAGCTCGACTGCGCCATGGCTCCACCTAAAAGTATAAACGGAAGGACTAGGATCAGACAAATCTCGACTCCTTTAACAGCCATAAGTGATGTTTAAGGTATTGCCTGGATGTCGAGTAAAAGACAAAATTTCTATTAAAACAAGAAAATTTTGTATGCCACAATTGGGAAGTGGAAGATTATAGCGAATTTATACGAGAATTTGGACTGAAGAGACAACATCATTTGGTATTTTGGTTGGCTAACTTTCTTGAAATTAAGGGATCTTATAACTAAAATATGGTTCATAATTGAACATATTTCTTAAGTCCTTTGGTATACCTAGCATATTCAACTAATTAGATTTGTACAATTAGTTTTGCATCAGTACATGTTTAGTTATGCATCAGTAGGATATACTTGGTAAGTAGGTGCTCCAACTCATCAACTGTCTATCCGACATCGACATCTTCTTGCTCCAAAACAAACATTTGGTATTGTAATACAAATGTGAAGAAAAGTCAATTTTCTTGCCAAAAGTGCTGGACCAATACTGAAAACTTCGAGCTGCAAGTTGATTTAGCTATCACTTTCAGAGTGCATCACTATGGACGTGTTTGCTTTGCTTGTTTCTAATTTCATTTTGCGTATTATTTCAGCTAAAAAATATTGTAAACTTGTGTACTCGACCATGATTTTTTTATACAGAGATATATTAGGTATTCCTTACATTTATCAGGTCACACTAGAAATCCTTTAATAGAAGTTACTTAGTTACCTTTATCTATCAATTTATTTATCTATTTTTAGTTAGTTATTGCTACCTACAGCACAGCTCATTTCACCTGCTTTTGTGGAAACATTTTAATAGGAAAAGCTAATAATTGTCTTGACCGGAACAGGTAATTTTTAATGTTAATTAAAGTTGAGCAAGTTTTCTCTTTCTAGTTTTAGTACTGATGTGGAAAGTGGCCGAATGATCACATCCTCGGCTTACCGCTTACATATATTGACTCAAAAAGTTTTTCGGGTGTTCATTCTTAAAAGGTCAACCTTTGTTAATAGAAGTAGCTCGAGCTCTTAAATATTGGTCTCTATTTGGGTATTCAAATGATGTGGAATTTATCCCTAACGTGTAGGTAAGGGATAATTCTTAGGGAAGATTGCATCAATGATCCCTACCTTTTTCAATTTTTACAGATTTTACCCTAACTTTCATTTTGTGTCAGTGAAGGTCTCTAACATTTCATAAATATGCTGCTGGAGTTCAAATGGATGGAAAATATCAATTTGATCGTTAGTTGATCAAGACAGTAAAAATTTGATTAATTTTGACCAAATTAAAAAGGGCAAAATGATACTTCTCATTTTCCTTATATTAAATAAGTTAAAAAATTAAATTAAAAAAAACAAAAAAACAAAAATAAATACATAAACCTATCCAACCCCCCAAATCAAAACCTGATGATATCTCTTCTTCTATGGCGAGACCCTACAAGAAATCGCCACCACTACCACCATCGTCGACCCCTACCACAACTCCCACTCACTACCTCCCACTACCAATGTCGGTATCCTCCATAGCCACCTTCCAACCCACGCCCACCATCGTCAATAAGAAACCACAAATAAAATTCTTCTCTATCAAACCCAGAAATCAAATCCCACCATACCCAAATCAAAACCAGAAATCAAATCACTCACCCACCAACACGCTGCCTTAGTGGCTATTTGGCTACCTGGAATTGAATTTCCCCCAAGTGAGTTTGTGAATGGGAAAATTGTAGCAACGTGAGATTGTGATTTGAAATCCCGAAGCTGCATCGATTTTTTGTTCCTTTTCGTTGAAATACTATCTTTAGATTAGACACCTGGGTTGTGGGAGTTGACAGGTGATAGTCCGCGGTGGTGGGTAATAGTCGAAGGAGGAGTTGCCAACACTTTTTGAGTTTGCGAATTGGGGGGTTTGGGTAATTATTCCGGTAACATCTGGTGGAGTGAGGGATGGTGGTTGGGTGGGATGTGTAGAGGGAAATGAGGTCTTCCCGGTGATGAGTGGGTCCGACTGTTTGGGTGGCGTTGGGGAAGAATATAATCGATGTTTGTGCCGGTCGGTGTGGGTTGTCGGTGTGGGTGGCTGATTTTCAATTGTGGGGGGTATGCTGGGGTGAAGAAGAAACCATTTTTTATTTTTTTGTTTATTTATTTAATGTGGTAATTTTAAACTTACCATTTTGCTCTTTTTAATTTGGTCAAAATTAATCAAATTTTAAATTTCTTGGTAAACTAACAGTCAAATAGATGTTTTCCATTCAATTGGACTCTAGTTGCATATTTATAAAATGTTATGGATATTCGTTGGTACAAAATAAAAGTTAAAGTAAAGTTTGCAAAAATTGACAATGATAGGATCCGCTGTTGCAATTTTCCCTAATTCTTTATTGCATTGTCGTGAGGCTATTTACCACTAACCAATTATTTTACGTGCAATTGCACTTAGAGGTGTTAAAATGATTGACCAAGCCACCTGCCTCATGGCCCTAGACTGGCCTGGTAGAAATGACTAGGCCTAGCTCAGCTCACAGACCCTAACCAAGCCTATTTTGGCACCATTTTTTAATTTTTTGTGTGTTCAATATTTTTAAAGATTTCTTTTATTAAAAAAAAAGAAAAGTTGAAAAATTCTTGTCCCATCCAGATCTCCGTGCAGTCCAAGCTTTTCATGGTCGGGCTTCAACGGTTCCCTCCCTCCCTGATAAGGAAGGATAAGAGCAATCAGCCAAATGATAGTTATTCCACTTACAAGTAGAGTGTTTTAACTCACATTGCATCCTCATTAAGTCTCCCGTGAGTTTCATAGTAGCACACCAACAATGTCATTTTTCCCACTCAATGACTTCGACTTTGAGTTGAATACCTAGTACATATCTCGTCCTCGTAAAGTTTAAATCCTTCGAAAAACTCTACAAAGATTATGATTACTTTCACCTTAGCTTTATAATCTGGTTTCAAGTATCGGCTCAGTAATTTTACGTACCCAATTGGACAAAAACATGATAAAAAAATGTCAATGGATGGAATTTTTTTGAAATAATCATATTCTTAATGTGTGAAACATACATAATAAGCAATTATACAAAATTGTTAAACCAAATCATATATTCACTGGGACGCCCCCCGGGGCATAACTCAGTGGTGCAAAGGACATGAGTGAAGTAATCTCAATTTAGCTGGCAGTCGCAGTGTGATGGTTCGATTACTACCTCTTACGAAGTATGAAATTTGACTCTTTGTGAACACTCGAATGACAGCTCTTGTACCCTAGCCTGTTGAGGCACATTCCGCGATTTGCCTCGTCCATGATGCTGTAGGGGAGGCGGTGGCAGGCCCTCAAGGTTGGGGTTCAACCTTTTTATATATTCACTGGGACAACAAATAATAATATCAATGACAAACTAACACTAGTACAATGTATAGCACTCCAAGAATTTGCGAAGGAAAAATAATTGACAGGATAATATCCGTCAGATGCTGCTGAATCTCAAAATCCGGTGGCAGAGAAAGCACAGGACGCGGCTTAGAGAAAGAAACCCGCCAGACTAAATGGTGATTTAAGGTTGCTTCCACCATTAGAGGTTCCATCTGTTGAGGGAACAACTTTAGACCCTGTAGATAAAAAAAGTTCAATAATTAAGCTCATGTCCATATAGTTAATATGTGCAACGAATATTAATTTTGTCTCGATTCTGTGGAACTAACCAATACCTGATGGAATAGTGGGCACTGATGGCTTGGTTGGATTCTCTGGTGTGTTGGAGGAATCAGCCGGAGAACCAGCTGGGGTCGAGGGTTCATTTGCTTCTGTATTTGCACAGTATATTGAAGTTAGAAATACACAGGAGTCCTTGTTTGGGATCAGAATGTTCAAGATATAAAAAGATTCAGTATTTTCCATGTTATTTATGAAACAGAACAAGTTCGATAATTCGTCTTACCCTTGCACCTACTAACAGGAGGAGTTTCCACGTTGCAAGCACCAGGTAAAGCCAATGCGAGAGTTTGATTTACTTTGACACCATAAGAGGAGGCATCACCATTAAGTAACATGCAAAGACACTGCGGCTGTGACTTAACTACACTCGAAAGCTGTAAACAACATGATGTAGATGGGGTCGATGAATTGCCATTGACATAGTTAAGACATGGGTACAAGCCCACGAGTGTCTTAGTACAGCCTGATTGAGCTGTAATTCCATCCAAAAACATGACTACAAAAACAAGAACTAGACAAATTTTGGTCATCTTGGAAGCCATTTCTTGGAATTTTTGGTGGGAATTAGAAATTATTGCTGATGAGGGTTTGAAGTTGTGTGAGGGACAATCAGAATGGGTGTTTAAATAAGAAGCATTTAGTGGAAGAAGAAAATGGCAGAAACAAACAGGTCCATTTGGTTAGCCAACTTCTAATTAACTATACTAATGATTGATTGAAACATAGTACTTAATCAAGAAAAGCAGATGTGTAATTAAAAATTGCACAATCTCTATGATCCATGTAACCTACATAATAAAATACAGGAGACGACAAATAGTGTCCCTATAAAAATGTTGGCCGTTTGAGGTGATGATAGATAGGTTTCAATTAGAATTTAGTTAAATTGGTTGAGCTCTGAACACACTGGGCCCGTTCGACATGGCTTTTGAAAAGTCAAAAGGAGCTTTATCCAAAAGTTGCTTTTGGACTTGCTTGACTAATTTTATGAAAGCGTTTCTTCCAGTTAGAAGAACTTTTAAAGAAAGTTGGTTCAATGTGACTTCCTCTAAAAGTACTTATAGAATATGAAATTCTTTTAAAAATTAGTTTCCAAACAAATATTAAGTTAGGTTATGTTTGATTGCAACGAATTCCATGGAAAATGTCACATTCGAGGAAAATGAATTCCACTTTGGCAATTTGATTGCAATGTAGAAATGGAAACCGAATTCCAAGGTACAATCACTTTAGAGTCATCCCAAAATTCTTTTATAGGAAGCAAAAGCAAAAGTAAAAGCAAAAGTCATGTCAAACGAGCCATTCGCCTACCAAATTTATTTCACGTTAATATATAAGTCAAAGAAAAAAATATAAACTATTTAAGCAATATTTCTTAAAAATTTAGAGTCTCTTAGACAAATCATTTTTTGTTACTCCATTTGATCTATTACTACGTCCATTGAAGGTCCTATGCGATTGGATTGTCTGCAATCACAACTACTTACTACTAAGCTAATTTTTGTATACCCTTAACCTAACATATTCTACTCGAAGTGCACAATACGAGTTTTTCTTTTGGTTTATAAAAGCTATGTGCTAACCTCCTAAATAGTCTTTAGAGGTGTCAAACGGGCAGGCCTGAGCCTAACCCACCTCCTGAACTTACACAAATTAAAAGAAAAAATGGGGATCGGCCGAGCCTATACAGGAATTGCCCTTCTTTGTAGAGCTGCCGTCCCTTGTCTTCCTCTAATGTATTATAATTGGTTTTGCCTCTACTTATTGGCATGTATTGTACATATTTTTATTGAATAATGCTAAGTGTACATTATTTAGTTGACATCATTGTGTATATCCCATTGGAGTTCAAAAAGTGGTGGACGGGAAAGTGTGTTAAAAAAAAAAAAAAACTATCCAATGATGTGTTGCCATGTGACACAATGTTAAAAATGATGTACATGTAACATGATTGTTTTTTATTTGTACTATTTTAGTACGATTATATATCCATTTATATGTAATCATTTTAACCTTAGGCGCCTTTGTATCCATAGAATCTCTGTAACACTTCTTCCTTTTTTTATTCTCTTGCTCTATAATGACCATACTACCATAGATAGTCCCAGACTTGAATAAAATTTGCTCATTGTGACGAACTTGACTCTATCCATGAGGAAAAAAAGATCGGGGAGACCTTAGACCTGTGCTGGGGAGGGATTGGGGAATGATAAGTTGACGGTCAGTACAAAACTTTATCTCAATTCCGATTAAAGGAAGAGGATCACTTTGAAGCATCTCATAACATGAATCTTTCTATACATGCATTATTATAATAATTGTCTTCTTCATCCTCTCAAGCCTTCTCTGATCATCTAACAATTTTTTGTTTTTTATTGGAAATTTTAATGGAAAATTATGGGAAATATCTGAGGCTTATTCATGTCCAGATGTAATGCTTAGCTATTGATCAAGCAACTTCAATTGGAGTTCTCTATCTAATAATAAGACTGAATTTACAAGATCAGATTCCAACACTTACTATATTGCATCAGCCGTGTTAAGAAGAACGTCAAAGAGATCAACTGATGCTAAAATGATGACTAAGACAATGTTCAATAAAAAATCTCGTAAAGGTACAGTACAGAAGAATCCCCTAAAGCCTGGACTCCAATCGAAGAAGCCATGTGGATAATAACTGGTACAGTGTTCATACTTAAAGAGTGTAGAAAGAAGAATAACGAATGGAAAAATATTCATTACATTAGTACAATCCCTTTTCTTCAAGTAGAAAAGTTGCATAAATTTATCCGGGTTAAAACCCCTTAACTGCTGTAAAATTTCAAAATTCCGTGGCAGACAAAGCACATGATGCAACGAAAAGAAGGACGCCAACAAAATTGAATGGCGTTTTTATGTTGCTTCCTCCAACAAAGGCACCGTCTGTTTTGGGAATTGTTTTAGACCCTGTTCCTGCATTTAAATAAATTCCAGCACTTAATAGAAATTAAAATCTAGTTCATCGTACTTTCTTGTCAAGTCTAGTCCACTAGTGTGTATCAAACATGCTCTTAGAGAAATGATTTTTGACAATAAATTTTAGGAACATCTTTGAGGCTAGCTGTTGTACAAATCATTGAATTGCTAAGTTGTTTTTATTTGAGTAAAAAAAAATTTTTTTTTTTGATTCGCTGAAAATGTTCCTGTAGTGGATTTTAGATTAATTTCTGAAAACTTAAGAATCCCATTATTATGAGAGATTTGTATCTGAATTAATTTTTATCATTACCTGATGGAATATCTGAATCTGATGGTGTGGTCGTAACATCAGGCACATCATCAGCGTAATCATCTGGAGATTCGGCAGGAGAACTAGCTGGGGTAGCAGCAGTTGTTCCTCCGTTTGCGTCTGTATTTACAAGAAAATCAAGTCAGTCGAATACAATGTGTTAGTTAGAAAGAAAAACTGCAACTTGTATAGCTATTCTGGCTATAACTTACAAGAAAGACCCTATTTATATGGTTACAAATAGTCATAGAAGGAAAGATTCTAAAGTAGTTATGCTATAAGACTATAAAGAGTATGTCAGAATCATGGAGAACATAGAAATATTTTCATATTGTGAAAATTATTACCACTGCACCGGCTAAGTGAAGGTGTTTGTACATTGCAAACATTGGGTAATGCAAGGGCTAGAGTTTGATTTATCGTGATGCCTAATGAGGAAGCAGCACCATTCAACAACGAGCATAGACACTGCGGCTGCGACTGGACTACACTTGAAAGCTGTGAGCAACACGTCGAGGATGGAGTCGATGAATTTCCGCTAACATAGTTGAGACACGGGGATAAGCCCACAAGAGCCCTCGAGCAGCCTGATTGAGCTTCGGTACCAACCCAAAGCATGACTACTAGAACAACGACTAGATATATTTTACGTACAGTGGAAGCCATTTACCTAAAAATACTCTGAGCACAAGAAATATATAATTTCACAATGGAAACAATTTGCTTGATTACTTTAGAATTTGAACTTGAGCGAAGAGGGAAAACAGGGCTAAGGATTAAATAGGCCATTTGGGGTGGGGGTGGATGGAGGACAACACACAAACAAATAGGTTTGTTTGGTTGGCCAACTTTTGAACTTAATGGTTCATAGTTTCTCAATGGTTTGAAAGTTGGAAGATCTTACCAAGAAAGGCATCTAATCATTAGACTGTAAAATTTTTTGTTATGCAGGAGATGCACAATTTTTAAGGAAATTGCAACTGTGGTATCCGGCTTGTGGATGTTGTAGCAAGTTTATACTCGACTTTTTTTCTTGACAGATTGGTTTCCAACCTTTCAAGTTTGTAGCACCTTAGTTTCAGTAGAATATTTTCATATTTGATGTTAATAAAAATTAATTAATAGAAAGTACAATTTTTTAAATATACTAGTTTTTGCCCGTGCGATGCACGGGTTGGCTAATTTTGGAGGTAGTGTTAGTGTGTTAAATATGTTAATTATCGTGAATTATATCTTGAATGTTAGATATGAGCAATTTAAATTATCCCAGTAAATGCAATTGTTCAACTGACTGCATACAACTACAAAAAATTGAATGACAAGGCTATAAGATAATACAGAATATAGGAAAATAAGTATTAGAAGGATAAATAAAGTTAAAGATACAATATTTAAGACATTTTATTTGCTAACAAAATGCATGGGGAGCATCCTGAAGTCATTAACATTCACTGATTTGCAATTTTAAATAAAGTCTAAGTCAAAAATAAAATTGAAGATGAACATGTCTTGCATGCAAAATACATTACCCTAGTNATTAATCTTACTAATAAAAGTTTTGGACCCCGGATGTAGTAGGAACTTGTACATTTGTCTTTTGAGCTAACCAAAGGAACTCTCGACAGTCCTTCACGCCAATTTGAGAAAATGTATTTACTAATGTAGTGATGAACCGTGGTAAATTGACCTTAAAATCATGTGAGCAACTTTTATTACCTTCGTCAACATTTTGAACACCCCCTTTGACATTACAACCCACTTGAGCGCCTTCTATATAGGCTTTACATGCTATCAGAATATCACGAGAAAGATTGCAAAAATGCCCTACGACAAAGTCCTCGAAGTGCTACAAGCAACATAACACAAAACTCAAATCAGTATATAATGAAGTCATCATCCAAAAGGAAAGAATAAATAGAAATTAACCATCAAAATATGTAAGGACTGAAAGGCCTAATAATAACAGTATTACATAGAGAGGATCTCAATTTTATCTTACCTTCGGTGGCTGCCACATATTGTACACCATCGTTTGGAGAGAATGGATAAAAGTATTTTCATTGTATACCAGAGAACACTTTTTTCCACTTGTTGAACCACTCATATTTGCATGTCCAGTCTCATTAAAATAGGGCTTCGCATTCAAAATTAGGCCTTGTATAGAGGCCAAAACTTGTAGCATAGTTGACACATCAGGGATCCACGTCTCCTTTTGACTACCACTCCAAGTGTTGAGAAGGCTTAGACATACTTTACCACAATTGTACAAGTTTGGATTGTTGTCATAAATCCAAGTAAGTGAAAAATATATACAAATATCATAAAACCTGACATATTCCAAAGGTAAATTAGTTATAGAAATAAGAAATAACAGAAATCAGCAATATAATTATGACAATGAATGATTAAGATGTGTAACAAATACTTACAAAGAAGTTATACTTCTACAAATGAATGAATGAAAGAATTTCTCCGTAGACAACATTTTTCGTACATGTACTATGTAAATTGTCAATGCTTGATGTTTTAGTAAAACCTTTAAAGATTTGTTCGTTTTAGCTCTTGACAATGCTACATAAAGCTGACCATGACAGAAAACTAGTCCAGGAAGATACAAACCAACGTAATCAAGTGTCTGACCTTGTACTTTATTTATCGTCATTGCAAAACATGGTCTAATAGGGAATTGAGTTCTTTTAAAATGAATTGAAGTTTGATTATTTTTCAGAGGTACAAAAGGAATTCTTGGTAAAAAAACATGTTTCCCACAATATTTATCAACAGAGATATAGTATAGTATAATATAGTGTAGTGTAGTAGTACTTGATGTTAAAACGAAGACTTTATAAGTTAATGGAGTAATATTTCAATTTATATATGAAGGTGTATACTGAAATTATATATAAACTAAGAAGGAAAAAGAATTGATATATAAAATAATACTGAAGTTAAAAATAAGTGTGATGAATGAATTAATCTGAATTTATAGTACTTAATAAATCATTGTAAAGTGTTTTTTTTTGTGGGTTCAAAATATTGTAAAGTTGAAAACGTAGTAGATATGATTAATTTTATTGTGTTTTCAGTAAGGATAATGTTGTTAGGATCGTTTATTATTATTAGTTACATTAGAATATAGGAAATGGGGAAAAAAAAGGAATACAGGGGGAAAAAAAGGAAGAAATTGGAGCAATTTGCTCCAAAATCTTTGGAGCAAATTGCTCCGCACTCTGTGGAGTAATTGCTCCAAACAGTGCGGAGCATTCTCTGCAGAGCAAATGCTCCGTAGAGTGCGGAACAATTTCTTCCTTCGTTTTTTTCCTTCCCCTTACATTCCTTTTTTTCCTCATTTCCTATATTTCAATGTAACTAATAAAAAAAAAAACCCGATCCTCACTGAAAATTAATAAAATTAATTATATTCACTTCGTTTTCAATTTCACAATATTTTAAACCTACAAAAAAGAAAAAAGAAAACACTTAACAGTGATTTATTAAGTACTATAAATTCAGGTTAATTCATTCATCACACTTATTTTTAACTTCAGTACTATTTTTTATATCAATTCTTTTTCCTTCTTAGTTTATATATAACTTCAGTATAAACCTTCATATATAAATTGAAATATTACTCCATTAACTTATAAAGTCTTTGTTTTAATATCAAGTACTACTACACTAAATTGTAGAGTATTGATATAGCAAATTTACATTAATTCAATAAATAATATTATCTGTTATTAGAAACATATTATGTTCAAATTTAACCCATATATTTCATTTAGAAAATCATAGTAACCTCAAAAAATTTACACTTCAGATTGAATTATCAGTAATCAGCTTTATCTTACTAATCTCCCTATGACTAAAAAAATTAAAAAAACAAACAGGTCAATAAACAAACCAAAAATTTTAATCTTCCACGCACCATTATTCACGGAAATATCAATTGGATTACGGAGAAGATATTTTCTGAAAAATCAAGGAAGAACGAAAACATAAAACAAAACAAAACCGAAAAAAATTGAAACCACTTACCGATGGAGATCGTTTTGCCACTTCACGGCGCTACTGAGAAAAAGTGAGAGAGAAATAGTGGGGAGTTGGCCTATTATTTTTGATTTGGCACCAATATTACAGGCAACCGGAGACAATGAAATATAGAGGAATGTGAAATTGATTATCGCGATTTGTGAGAGAGCAAGAAAGATTGCAATGTGAGAGAGCAAGAAAGATTGCAATACTTTATATATGCATAGAACAAAAATGATATTTTATAGTCGGTTGATAATCACTGCAATACCTTAATATGGAAGAAACAACCACCGTCTTTCACTAAGAAAAATACAGCCACCACCTTTTACCGCCTACTTTTTTGACTTGTGACAGAGGGATAAAATGGGAATAGGAAAATACGTCCAGAATGAACAGTAAATGAAGCGTTGCCTCTTTTAATAGAAGAGGGATTAATAGAAGAGGGAAATAGAGGTGATTTTCTCTATTGTATTGGGCATGACAAAGTGATTTTTGAGAGGATGTAAGTCTAGAATCCAAGTTTTTAATGTTCTCTTTGTGGTTTGAACAAAGAGTAAAATTGTTAGGTGTGATTAAAGCTTAGGTAATATTATTCCTACAATATTATGAGGGTTTTAGGGGGTCAGAAATTCTATATGATTATAATTTTTTATATAGTTGAATTTTTTCTCGTCCATAAACCTTGCGATGTTCTTGAACAAAGATTATGTAGACAAATCGAAGAATTAGTCTCAATTCCCCACACTGGGTTGCCCAGATCTTCTCCTCCAATACTCCCTCCGCCCTTTCCTAGGATGCAAGTTTGGGATTGATTATGGTAGAAGCAGGGGGTAGATGGAAGGTGGCGGAGGACGAAGGAGGCTAATCTACCAAGAAAAAAGGTTCCAGTTTTACACACATTTAATTGGGCTGGGACGCCGTTGCAATTCTACCTATTTTTATGTTCTCTTAAGGTTTCATCAAGTAAAAACTACCCACAAGACCAGTACAACTACGCCTTCCTAACACGAAAACCATTCTTTTCAAGTCAAAACAGAAGATGAGAACCTCAAACCCTTCAATTAATAATGTTAGTTAAAGTAGTTGATCTCCAAAAACCCACGTCAAATCTACCAGTTTTTCTTTAAAATTTAGCAAACCACTAACTTACCATACATATACTCCACATCTGAAATCTTAATGATCAGTTCTTCAACTTGTAAGCTTTTGCTTTATCTCAATGTTTTTTTCCAGGAACTGAAATCCATGGAAAATTTCATGGCATATTCATGTCTAAATGTAGCGTTCATATTATCTCTGTTAATACTTTCAGCTTTTAGAGTAAACGGGCAAATTAGCACGCCATGTTCAAGTTCAATGGTAAGCAGCTTTACTCCATGCTTTAGTTACTTGACTGGAAGCAGTGGCACTGGATCTTCACCGACAGCAGAATGCTGCAATTCACTGAAAAATCTCATGAGTGATAGCATGGATTGTACATGCCTCGTTGTAACTGGGAATGTTCCAGTCTCAATACCATTCATCAGTAGGCCTTTGGCTATTTCACTCCCCCAAATGTGTAAAAGTTCCGTACCATTACAGTGCAAAGGTAATGTTCGGTCACCAACATTTTGCCGTCATTATCTTTCCCAATGAAATTCTTGGATGTTTGTCTGTTTGGTGGGGAGAACTAAATAGCACCGGAATATCCCCAGATTAGTCCAATATTGCTTATCAAATATGCCCTTCTTGTTCATTATAGGTGAATCCCATTGCTAATATTAATCATTTTTCTTATATTTTGCAGCCACCGGCATTGCCTTACCACCTTCAGGTTAACTCTAATAATCCATACTTACCTGAAATAAGTACTCCAAAATTTTGTCCTGCCATTACTGCATATCATCTCAAGGCTTGCCTTTTTAACTATCCTAAATTGTTTTCACATGAAGAAATCTTGGTAATTTTTGTTTCTTAATCAAACAATCATAGGCCCTGCCTTATTTGCGCCAAGTGAAGCACCTGTTGCTCATGCTCCTCATGCTCATAGTCCAAAAGGTAATATTCTCAAAATCGGATTATATGATGTTATACTTGCGTATCCTCACAACGCTTTACTTTTAACTCCATGTTTCCATTTTCTTTGTTCAGCTTCAAAAGCGGCTGCAGCGGCGGCGGCATCACCAGCGGCTGCAGCGGCGGCCGAACCACCAGCAGCTGAAACACCACTTGATATTATTCCAGCAGCACCACCGGAAGTTACATTAGCTCCAACAGCAAATCCAGGGATCAGACCAATTCTCAATCCCAACTTGGCTTCAAATCCACCTATTCTTTCGTTGTCATCTCTTCTGCTTATGCTTGTTGGAATCATGGTCCTAAAGTTATTCTGATCTTCTTGCGTTGTCTTCTTCCGTTTTGTGGATTAGAATCCATTGTAAGAACTATAAGATTGATGAAGGCGACGAATACATATTTTTCTTGTAATATAAATGGTTGGATTTATTTTTAAGTGACTATCTAATGCAAAATGCGACTAGGAACGAAAGTATTTAGAGTTGTTGGCAACTAATGATATAACCCTGCAACAATTTTGGGTAGAATATTGACTTACAAAAAATGAATGAAATAAAATGATAATGGTCGAGGCAAGAGTTCGACTCTTTCTCTTTAAGACGATAATGTCTCGCACTGGTGCTTACGGTCTTCCGACACTCATCTTCCAAGATACAACGACTTCGACTTATAATAGTAGCACTCCAAATTACAAGACCCAACGAACCTACTAATTTTTTTATCTCTCTAAAAATGGAGGACTTAAATGCACGAAAATAATATTCGAGACTGAAATGCACAATATGAAATAATGCATGATGGAAGGATTATATTTTGTAAGAGAGAAAATCCGGAAAGATTTTGAAATGAATAAAATCCGAGGTATGAGGACCTTTATATAAAAGTTGAAAAGTTGTATCCAAAGACACAATAACTTAAAAGTCGTATATTCAACAGACACAACCCATTTGGAATTTTAGGGAAAAATAAATAATATCAACAAATATATTATTATTTAAAATAATAATAAAATAATACAATTCAAATATTATTTTACCAAAAAATATATACCAACTTGACCCAAGTCCAAAACTCGTGCTGTGCCAACCGATCGGACGACGGTTCGCATGTGGGCTTTGGCTCAACCTACTAACATATAGGTTTTCTCCTCTTCAAAGTCTATTGATACCTCTTAGGGCCCAAAACTAAGTCCCAAACTTAAGCAATATAAAGTGGTTTCTATTCTTCTAGTTTTCTATGTGAAATTGTCATTTTCCAATTTCCCACCAATTTTTATTCCAAATTTATTTCAATTTTAAGTGGTCATTTTTTTTGTTTTAATTTCTCATTCACCGTAAATTGATTTTGAGAAAATAAATACATTACATTAATCTACTCATGAAGTAGAACACATTCGACCAAAAAATCTTTTATCCAACTAACGAGACCCACTAAAATAATTGGTCAAAAGTTAGTCAAACCAACTAATTAGAACCAATTTTTCCAACGGGAGTTGCTCTAAAGGCATGTTTGATAGGTGAGTTTTTCTAGGGAAAATGGAAACCATTTTCCATTTCCCACTTTTAATAGTGTTTGATAGGGCTTTTTTTGACAAGAAAACATTTTGCCATGGCTGGGCTCACNAAAAAATTCCCGCTTTTATTGACAATTTTTATGTAAAACAAAGTCAAACGAATGATATTCGGTATGATAAATTTATTTTTTTTTCATAATTTTTTTTTTTACTTTTTGGCAATGGAAACAAATTTTATAATCAATTATGGAAAAAAATATCACTTTAATGGACAATTTTCATATAAAATAAAGCCAAACGAATAGAAAATTTAAAAATTTTCTAGGAGGAAAATTATACCAATCAAACACACTTGAAGTCATTTTCCCTACAAAATATTTTCTAGTCAAATATTTTCCCTGTAAAATATTTTTTTTCCACCCATTTTCCACCCTTGCAATCAAACGCACCCTAAAAATCAATCACAAGACATTGACATATAAATATGGAAAAAAATTCATAGAAAATGAATTTTTCCTTTTGAATCAAAATTTTCTCTTCCCATATACAAAAGGGCGCACACAATCAAGAATATTTGCAACAGAAGCAATAATTGATGGTATTTTTTTTTTTTTATAATAGATTTTGTGTAAAGTGATTTTTTTTTTTTTTTTTGAAATGAGTAATTAAAAAGTAAGGATACGTTATTGATCCATGTGCAAGATTATTTTATTGAGATAATATGTTATTGAAAATAAATTTAAAGAAAAATGAGATTTAAAAAATTTGTACCAAAAAAAGGACATATCATCTTAATGACATTTAAGTTTGTTAGTTAAACTGCTTGCTGCAGATAACGTTTTAATTTACTTCTGACTTAAACAAATATTCTTAGCTAACACACACGGGTCTTGCTACAAAAACAAAATGGATGACATAAATGATGATCAAACACACACATGGGAGGTTGACATGTTTTTATTCAGGTTGGAACCCACGTGCAAATGTGAGGATGGTGTCAAACCTTATGTCAAACTTTTGGGCACTTAAGCAAAGTCCAACACACCATTCATTTGAGAGATTAATTTGACTTCTTCCAAACATTAACACTAACAGTTGAACTAACGCGTCCATTGTCGATTCTCTCATATGTCCTGGAAGCACTGGGTCCCACTCTTGTTGACTTTGTACAATCTTTAGAAGCATTAATACTTGCCACGTCCAATTTAATAATGATATTTACCCTTTATTTTATAAAGAAAAAAATTAGGGCTAGGATCCCTAACCTTTCACATGGTGTGGTTACGGTCCTCAACTTTCAAAAATAAGGATCTGGATCTCCAACATATATAAATCTAGGAATCTCTGATTTCCGACGGTAACGAAACCATCAGTTTGGATCATAAAATCAAATGAGATTTACACGACTTACAGTTGGAGGGTAAAACTTTAAACAACTTAGCTTTTCTCTCTAATTCAACTGAAAGTTGCGTGCAATTTAAAAATCCACACCGACGGTTTAGCTCACATGGAGTCTCAAATTCATAAATACACATAGGTTGAGGATCCAGTACATCACTTTTGAAGATTGAGGGACCTAAAACAACACCATATGAAATGTGAGGAGCTCAACCCAAATTTCCCAAATCATAGTTGCCTAAACTTGGAAGAGATTTCATCAATCTCTTTATAAATTCACTAAATTAATGTGATACGGTCCACAATACTTATCTAGATTTTCCTTCTCCTATAAAAGACAACTTGTGCAAGTAGGATTCACACATATAACCTTCAATCCTAATAGAAATTCAAAGAAAAATATGGCAGTTTCAAACTTATTTGTAGCTTTCCTATGCTGTACCATCCTTATATCAGGTGACTTGTTATCTTTCTTATAGCTTTCCTATGGTTCAAAGATTGGATGGGAAGGGACATTTCTATACTCTAATAACATGTTTAGTACACTTGATCGGATAAAATTAGAGGATGACGACAAATTTCTGTCTAGTTGAACGTTTGAACCACATATGATGTTTCTTAATATAATTGAGTAATTTCAACTCCTTTATGCCTAATGGAATTTTGGTGTGCAATTTGTGTAGTGGAGAAAATGATCCCCACGGTTGATGCAGATGATTGTTCTGAAGGTCTTCCTTGGGTGCAAACCTTTTGCGATAGAAGTAAAGTTGATCAAGCATGCTGGATCGAGTGTCAAGAGCGCCACGGTCCTGTCGTAAAGGCAGAATGTAGAAGATCACCTGGTTTCCCAAGTTCGTTTTGCTATTGTATATGGCCTTGTCAACGTGTAACCATGAATTGAAAAAAAGTGCACATTTTTTGTCAGCCGGTTACTGTTGCAACGTTCTGAAATTTTCTACAAATAGCCAAAAATTTGCATCAAACAGGGGCTTAGTCTTATAAACCGATCTCTTTTACAGTGCAATGAGTTTCAGATTAACTCTCTTTTCTTTACGATGAATTATGTAAACACAAGGCAGAAGCTTAGTCGAAGCTTGTTTTAAACATACTTGTGTGTGGCTAATTTCTGACCTCTTTGTGAATTATTTCAAATTAATCCAAATGAAAAATAATAAAGTGACAAAGCTATATATAAAGATATTTTTCTCTAAAATATAAATTTACATCCAATTCAATCCTAATGGAAAATTTGCTTTCAATGCCCCCTCAAAACCCACTTTAAATGTCAAATAGTAATAGTAGTGGGTCAAGCAGCCTTCCACCCTATACCCTTGGAGGCATAACCTGCGATTTACCTCCTTCACCAAGGCCCAGGGTAGGGCAGGTGGGGGCCGCTAAGGATGCGGTTCATCCTTTTTTGATAATGACATCTTACCAACCAAACGAAAATAAAGGTAGGTGGGGGCCGCTAAGGATGCGGTTCATCCTTTAGTAATAGTAGTGGGTCACCACGAAACGTATGAATAATAGTAAGTAGTGGTTATAAATGTGTGATTGGCATTAATGTTTGAACTTGAACTCAATTCATTTATAAATTATATCCAAATGGAGAATAAATTATCCATCTCATCGGCGCACTTTTTGTCTAAAAAAACTTGGAAGAAAATCAATATACTTCTTCAGGAGCAATTTCTCATCCCACTTAAGTGAACCATACCCATCCAAAAATCTCTAAAACAAAATTTTCTACTTTGAAACAAAAATTGGTGATTAACTATCTTGAACTCCCACCTTAAAAACTTAGATAATATGGAACATTGTATTCGCGAGAAAAATAGAGAACAAAACCTGTTTGAGCTCCATTGAAAATAGATTTTGGAAAACGTGTATTTTGAAATAGTGACTTTTGGATAATATGTAGTTAAAAAAATAAGGAAATGTTTTGAATTTACGCGTAATATTATTTTACTGAAAAATGTGTGATTGAAAATAAGAAAGAAAAATATATTTTTTCAAAAATGAAGCCCAAACAGGTCCGGTAAAAACTGAGAAGTTTGAAACAATTAAAACAAATCAAAAATCGAATTGTGCATTTCAAAAATCAATTCTCTTACTCATTTGACTCTAAGTGTGCGTTTGATTGCAATGGTGGAAAATGGGTGGAAAGAAAATGTTTTATGGGGAAAAGATTTGCCTAAAAAATATTTTGTAGGGAAAATGATTTCAAGTGTGTTTGATTGGTATAATTTTCCACCCGAAAAATATTTAAAATTTTTATTCGTTTGGCTTTGTTTTACATGAAAATTGTCCATTAAAGTGATATTTTTTTTCACAATTGGTTATAAAATTTGTTTCCATTTCAAAAAGTAAAAAAAATGAGAAAAAATTGTTTCCTAAACAATCATT